AAGAAAGAAAAGCTTGTAGTTAGTTCAAGGATCACTGGCCTTTAAGAGTGTTTTCCAGTCCAGTCTGTTGGGGCACCACGCCTTGTTCCCAATGTCCACCCTCATCATTCCCTGGGGATCTTGCTGCTCCCCTCCCCTGCTGTTCTGCTGCACTCCCCCAGTACTATGCCTCAGTGTGGCGGGATCAGATTGGGTGCAATTCTCACACTGTGTCTCTGGTGTTGTCCCCCGCAGGGCCGTGGGTCAGTGAATAGTATTTCTTAAAATGACCTTACTCCTATAACAATTTATGTATGCATTTAACTGATTTTTAAAATTTTACCTTCATAATACAACTTCAACCATTGTTGTAATTTCACAGATCTGCATGTTCTTCAAGGATAGATATATATATATAACATATATAATTTCTGGGATGACTATTTCTAAATTGTTCTCCATAATGGTTCTATTTTACATTCTCATCATCTGTGTTAGACTTCCCTTTGCTCTTCATTCTCACCCACACTTAGTATTGTTAGATTTTTTTATTTTTGACAATTTGTTGAGTATAAGCTGGTTACTCATTGTTTTAATTTTCATGTCTCACAAATATTTATTTTTTTGGATGCTTTCCTTTAAAAACTATAAAAAATTCAGTGTATCTCATGTGCTGAACAGTAAACATTTTTATTTGAATATAATGCTTTTACATTTATTGTGTTTTTTACAGACTTTTACAGACTTGAATTTATTTCCAAATTTTTTGTTTATCATATTTTTCTTTGTGCGCTCCTCCCTTTATGTTTTCTTACATACCATTTTTTATTTTCTTTTTATATTTTCTGATTTAGACATGATACAGTGCATTTCTGTTCTCTAATAAATTTTAAAATATCTATAACCATTTATTTTTCTTATAACATCTTAAGTAACTTTTATACTTTTATACTTTTCTTTCAAATATGACAGAGTTTGCAATTTTTAAGGGTCCATCATGTTATGTTCAAAGATTTAGTTTTTTTTAATCAAAAAAAACATGCATGCTTTTAAAAGTTACTTTTCCCCCTGCGGTCATATTTTATTAATTTTTTTGATTCCTTGTATGAGAATAAGTAAAAAGCATCGCTACAAGGGTTATATTTTGGACCTGTGTGGGTTTATCCCAAAATGAAATGTATTAAAACATAAACCTGAATCAGTGGATGGCTACAAACATGCTCTTTCAGTAATACACTGAGTCTCATTACCGTGTCTTCCAAAAAAGGTGCAAACCAGGGGCTTCTGAGAGGATCTGCTGAGTCAGTTAAAATCAAGGCAGAGGTCCGTTCAGAAGGTTATGAGCAGAGTAATCTTGTTCTATTTCCCCGGAAGATACAGGATGATTCCAGGGGCTTACCAAGAAGAAGTTTTATAAAGTTGGAAAACTGCTTTGGTGAGAAAAAGACCTGAAAAGTTGTGCTGAGGATTTCCCCCCCCCCCTTCCCCCTCTCACAACAATGCCCTTGCTCAGTCTTTGAGCGTAGCATGGACTGTCCTACAAAACAAGTTACCCCATTCACCCCACAGCCTTGATCTTGCCACTTGAGACTTCTTTTACTTCCCCAAACTCCAAGAACATCGTAAAGGAAAAATGGCTTGAGTCCCTGCAGGATGTCAAAGCTGCCATGGGGATGTGGTGTAAGTTCAAGATTGCTGACCCTTCAGAGAAAGGTTAGAGAGATGCAAGCAATACCTTCGGGAGAGAGTAGATTTAGATGGAGGGTATGTAGGGAAAGAATAGCTTCAAGTTTTGGTATTCTTGTTTAACAAGGGCTTCTATGATTTTAAAGCAATACGTTTTTAATTTAACCTCACATTTTAATATCACTTACTTCCCAAACTTCCCCTATAGTTATTCTTGTGATGTGTATCTTTTAATTGTTAGTGGGGAGCTGTAAGTTGCAGATAATTAAATTTGTATATATGAAAAATGCATATTTTTATGCTTATACTTGGATAATCGGAAATCTAATGATCATTTCCTCTCAGTACTGGTTGGATGATTCTTGCAATATTTCTGGTGATGTTGCAGATCAGAAATGTGCTGCAGCGACAATGCTTTGAGGTGCCTTTTCTTTCTGGCAATCTTTTTAGATCTTATTTTTTTAATCCTCAATTTTCTGCTGATTTTGTTGTAGTGAAGTAATAACTGTATTTTCCAATTAAGGAGTTGTGTCTTTTTTTTTTTTTTTTTTCAATTCAGGCAGTACCTGGATCACCAACCTGTTCTGTTCCTAAGCCTGTCTATAAATTAGGTGAATTTGTATGCAAATCACACTGTTAGGTAGGATTTATATCTAAAGCCAGTCAAATGCTTGTCTTTGTATAGCATCCTCATGTATAGTGTACCTATATATGATTAGTGGCTAATGATTAAACATCATTAAAGAAACACTTTCATAGACCCTAAAACATTTTAACATAATAATCCAAACCTCCTGCCAGGACGTCAATTCTGACTCGTAATAACCATACAGTTTTCCATTCTGATAGAGGCAGACAGCCTTATTTTTCTTCTGTGGAATGGGCACGGGATTTGAACCATTGACTTTGTATTAGTTAGCAGTCCCAAGAGCGCCACCAGGACTCCTTTTTAATATAATGATGTTGTTAGATCCTGTCAAGTAGGTGCTGACTCATAGCAACACTATGTACAATGGAACAAAACATTGCCTGGTCCTGTACCACCCTAACAATTGTTAGGTTTGAGCCCATTGTTGCAGCCAATAAGCCAACCCACCTCGTTGAGGGTCTTATAAAGTTTTCATGCATATAAGGAACACCAAAAAAAAAA